ATTTTACATGCTCGGCTTTTTTACTGAATCATCCATTCCATCTCCTTGCCTTAGCTGCAATTTGGCTCCTTTAGTATACTAATTCCTTTGAAACTTTCAACTGGGAGATGCTCATTCTTTCACATCCCATATACCTCAGGGTCAAGACAAGGTGCTGAAGTATCCCAAACTGCAACCTTCAGACTATCATTCCTCCATCATCTTGTAAAAACTCCAGCTGCTTTGAATCTCCCATGATATCCAGCTATCCCTGCCAACTGGTGGTAGCAACAAACTACCAACTTCCCCGCCACTCCCTCACAAAATTCATTGAGAAGTTTCGGCACATGGCTCATTAGTCCTCCATCAAAATCCCCCCTAGGCAATTTCCACATCTATGTAACTTTCATTCTGGTTTCATTTTTTTTTACTTGCTTCCTGAATTCACTACAGTCTCCCACTCCCATGCCCACACCAAGACCTTGTCCAAGCAGGAACATTCTCTCAATTACTCCTAGTATACCTGCCCTTTGACCTTACAAGACCCCCTAATCCCTTGACTCCTCTTCTCCCTAACCTCTCCCTACCACCCCAATCTTGACTTCCTTGCTTATTTGGCTAAGATTTCAAAATCATCACTTCAACCACTTTCTTACCAATATCCCCAAAACTACCGTATCCTTCTATTTCTATAGCAGCTACCTGGCTAAACACTAATATAGAATTGATCTGACTTCATAATTCACTTAACAAGTATTTATTGAGAGTGGGTGGTATTTTCCTAGGAGCTGGATATACAGTATGGAATAAAAAATAAATCATCAAAGTTCACAGAGTTAACACAAAAGTCAACAGTAAAAGAACCAGGATTTTAACTCAAGTTGTCTGATTCCAGATCCTTGTAATTTCCAGCTCATTCTCCACTATATTTCAAGCTTTATCTGACTTCCTTAAAATTTGACCCCACGTCTCCCACTCTTAAATTAACTTTTTTTTTCCTTTGGTAATTCACTTTTTTTGTGTGTGTGTGAGGAAGATCAGCCCTGAGCTCACATCCTGCTAACCCTCCTCTTTTTGCTGAGGAAGACCAGTTCTGAGCTAACATCTAGTGCCAATCCTCCTCCTTTTTTTTCCCCCAAAGCCCCAGTAAATAGTTGTGTGTCATAGTTGCATATCCTTCTAGTTGCTGTATGTGGGGCGCGGCCTCAGCATGGCTAGAGAAGCGGTGCGTCGGTGCGCACCGGGTATCCGAACCCGGGTCGCCAGTAGTGGAGCGCGCGCACTTAACCGCTAAGCCACGGGGCCAGCCCCTCCCACTCTTACTTTTAGCAGATGACCTTCTCCCCATCCTCTCAACTTCCAGGCACTAAACCTACAAACATAAATGTTCTATACACATCTATACACATCTCTTCTTATTATAAAGGAAGAAGGTCGTTCCTCTTTATACATTTGTATCACATTCTTTCCCACATTCTCAGGAATCTCAGTGTATTCAGTTCCCTAACAATACATTTATATTTTGGCTCTTAGCTTTCTCAAAAGCTGCTACTTCTCCCGTACCCTTCTGTCACCATTCCTCAAATTCCCACATGCCTCATTCCACCTCAGTTACTAGTAATCCTTCCGTATATCTCTCTAGACTGTAAGCTCCATGAGGTTATTGAATGTTTTTATTTTGTTCACAATTGGATGCTCAATCCTTAGTAGAATTTAAGGTACATAACAGACAGGTAAAATATATACTGAACAAACAAATAATTATGAACACAATATCATTCTTGTGATTTTTCCAGCCAATAATAATAGAAAAATTTGAAAATAATAATTCAAAATAATAAAATTAACAACTACACCCTAGGGAATACAAAAGGACATACCTCTAGTTCATTTTCCAGTTTCATTACTTTAGTTTTTAATTGATTTTCTATTAAAAAAAGACAAATGTTTCAATTGGTCAATTTATCTCAAGACAAACTTCTAAATAAATTCCAATAAAATCATAAAATAAATTCTTTTTAAAGATTCCATCATGATTGTAATAATAAGGTAATATAAGAGAAAATAACTATCTTATACCTGAACTATGAAATAGGAGTTCTAGAATATCCTTCAAAATAAATTGAGTCTACACATTTTATAGAATATATTAAAGCTAATTCTTTTTTTTTTCTTTTTTTTTTTTTTTAATTTTTT